TCAATCAACTGCCATCACACTATTATAGACACCCCGTGAGGATGATGCGTACTGCGGAATTACAGGAAAGACCGAGTACGTGTTGGAGTCCATGCCAACTGCAAAGGGCAACAAAAACCATGATCGTGCGCCTGAGTGTCCCAAACATGTAATACTATCAGGTTGAAACAGCCGGACGCCAAGTGTGGAAAAGGCTCGTATGACCCGACTTTCGGTGCACATCAGCATCAACTGATGAAGTAAGCAGTATGACACCGACACAGCAATCGGGAAAATTTGAATATTTTTATTGGGCCTTCCTAAAGATTCCGAAAGACGACACGCACGTCGTTCACACGTCCAGCCCCACCAATAGGTTTCTAGCGCTCAACCTTACCACACAGCAACCCAGTGATTTACCACGCACTGTACACCCCAACTCATGACCGATCCAAGAGATCGCGGCAACAACCGCCGTCGAGACGACACAAACACAAGGAACCGCCGGTACCGAGTTGTCAACGCCACCGACATAAACACGCGTCGAGGGGCTCAGCGTGCTGCCTCCGCCGATGCTCTCAACGCCCATCGTAGAGCACAATATTCCGCGTCGGCAGAGGCCATCAACAGCCGTCGTAGAACTCGCCATGCCGACAGAGCACAACAGCTCAACGCCGCACGTCGACGGCGTAGAGCGACCGTCATCAACAACAAAAGGGGGTTGCCCTTCAACGACATCTTTCACGCCGAGGACGACTCCACCTCACTACGAGCCATTGTTGGAGACCGCCAGCGAGCCTTGGAGGAGGCGCGACGAGACCAGGGCATCACAGCGCAGACCGGAGATCCTTGCCGGCATTGTGGCGCCAAACTGTTCGCTAAAGAGTCCAAGGGCATTTGTTGCAAGAATGGGAAGTACATCCTCCCGCGACTGCCGCCACTACCCCCTTCATTGAAAGAATTGTACGATTCTCCGGAGCCATCAGCGCAGAGGTTCAGGAAGGAATCGAGGATGTATAACTGCCGATGCAACTTCGCCTCGCTCAACGTGGAGGATGGTGAACTCAAAAAAATGTTCGGTGACCATCTCGTGTCTGTCCAAGGGAGGTGAGATCGATTGACATGTGCAACGATATATGCTACAATTGTATAATGAGGTATAGATTCATTCGTGTGGTCTTTCATTTCTATTTTCCTTGGTGGTTTAATACACGTTTGATTCGTTCGATAGCATATAATTGAGTGTAGATTAGTTCGTGTGATCTTTCGTATATATCTTTATTCGTGTTACAAAATACAATACATCCATATAAAAGCGTATTTTCGTCTTTTCTTCTGTACGACGCAATACCCGAACACCTTCCGATACAAAAAACAATGTCACTAACATCAACAATAATTTCCCTCCTCCGTTCATATTCCATTCACACACCGCATCACAAGTTCGTACATCCTGCGCTCTCCCCCATGTACACCGTTCCTGCCCATCTCTTTGGCCAGAACTTACCATTCTGTTCGAGACGGCGGCCATTCCAACGTTCAATGGCTCCTACATGACCTCAACTTCGTCTCTAGCCACCTCGACAAAGGGACCATGACGACGATACTGCGCGAGTTGCGATCCACATCACCCTATGTCGGACGCCTCAAAGCCGCCATGAGCACTCGGTGGGTGCCTACCGTCACGACCTATACTTAAAGTTAGACTACAGCAAAATATTCGAGTATCATTTGGCTCTGTTAGACATGTCGAACGTGCTTCCTGCTGCCAACATCCCCACATACCACTTCGTATCCATATTGTGCATATGTTTCTATGATATGTTGGGAAGGTGCAGAACGGGAGTTTTGTTTGATCCATCCGTTCTACTTCTCACGTATCTGGTGCGAATCATTCTACATCATTTCCACTTCCACCGTTCCTTTTCCAGGACTGAATCGGCTGCTATTTCGAGCACCTTGGCATTCTCCGCGCCTGGTGCACCGTCGTCAGAAATGATAGCTGTGGACACCCGCAGCAGGGGGGTCATGCCTACAGACAAGACCACCATGACGAGGACGCTCACAGGGGAAATAAACACCATCAGTTACCTCAATCGTAACTATTTCCCTTTGACATACGTCCTGCTGTTTCCGCACGGTGGGGAATCCGGATGGCACCCCGACCTGAAGAGCACGACCGGTCGAAAAATCACGTTAGCACAATGGGTAACCCAGTTGTTGTTCAGGGAACCACGATTCGAGAAACTGGGGCCATTGGTCAACGAATTTCTCATCGACGTTTTCAGTTGCATCGAAGATCAACGACTCTCGTTCCACGCACATAACCAAGACAAGTACCGGACGTCGATGCACCACGCGTCTGCAGTTGCGCAACGTTACCGGCAACCGCAGCCCCACCACGATCCCGTCGATGCCATCATCGTCCCATCGAGTTTTAGCGGGGGATTCGCCGACCAAGCGAAGAAGCTGACGGAGTCCATGGCGATTCTACGCCACTTCGGGCGGCCATCATACTTCCTCACCGTCACGTGCAACACAGTGAGTCCTTACGGTACGAACACGTGTACGACACAAGTATACCGACAGACAAAACCTTCCTGTTTGTATTCACTAAACATCCACATATCTATCTCATCCTTCGCACTCCGCAGGAATGGCCGGAGATACAAGAACGATTACATCCGGGACAGACGGCTTTCGATCGCGCCCAACTTTGCGCCAGAGTGTTCAAACAGAAACTCGATGCCCTGCTCAAGGTGATTACATGTTTTCCTTGCGTTCGGCCCCATCGATTATTCGTGTCACGACTCATACGACGTCCATAGACACTCCGCCTATCGATTCCACATCGTGTACATGTCGCATATCTCCTGGCGGAAACATTTTCACTCACAGATCATTCCTACCCCCCCGAACTTCGACCCCACAGATTTACCTCAAGTCTTCGGCAGAATCATCTTCAGGATCGCGGTCATTGAATTTCAGGTGAATTCCTCTGCTACCAAGGTCTGTCTACGTCATTTTGGGAGCGGCTTTCAAACTTTTCGTTGATAAGTCTCCGTGTGTCCTTTTCCGCACATGAGTAATATGCGGTTATTACCTTTTCTTTCGCTTCCACGATGGGTCTTTTATCACCCCGTCTTGCATTTCTGCGGACCTGCGTTATCAAGAAGGATTGGGTTCAAGTCCGACTTGTTTCCCCCCTTCGCTGCCTTTCTCTATCTTTCATTACGTACTGCATGTGTGCCGTTTCATCGGCGTCGGACTCCTCGATACTGGTGGATTACCTGTTGCAGATAAAGGGAGTTCCTTTATTCCGAGAGAGCCATACGTCGGCATCCGGCCTTTACATGTTTTTTATGCATTCTTCTCCTGATGAGTCTCCGTGTCACTTTTTCTGCGCTTGAGTCACATGCAGTTATGACCTGCGCTTTGACTTTCACGATGGGTATTTCACCCCGTCTTGCATTGGTGAGTACGTGTGTTATATAGAGGAGCGTTCAAGTCCTACTTTTCCCCCCTTGCGTTTCCTTCCCCTATCCTTCTTTGCGTGTCGCAACTGGGTGAGTCCTCGTCGTCGGCCTCCTCGATACTTGTGCATTACTTGTTGGAAATTGTGGGAATCCCTTCCCTTCATTCCGAGAGAGCCATAGGTCGGCATCCGACCTTTTCATTTCAATTTGCATAGTTCCCCTCGTCATGTTTGCCGTTACGATTACCATCGATGCTTAAGCGCGTATGTCTTCAATCTTCTTAGCCGGCCTTCCGACTCCTCCCTGATAAGTCGCCGTGTCAGCTTCTCCGCGCGTGAATCATGTCCAGTTATGACCTTCGCTTTGACTTTCACAATGGGTATTTTACCTCCGGGTCTTGCATTTCTACTGTAGTGTAGGTACCTGCGTTTTGAGGAAGGACTGCGTTCAAGTATCATTTTTTTCCCCTTGCGTTTCCTTCCCCTGTACCTCTTCGCGTACCACATGTGTGTCCTTCATCGTCGTCGGCTCCATACTTGTGGATTGCCTCTTGGAAATTCTGGGAATCCCTCCATTCCAAGACAGCCATAAGTCGGCATCCGGCATTTTCTTTTTTTGTATGCATTTTTCTTCTTGTGCACTTTTTCCGTTGCGCTTGCCATCGTCGCTTAATTACATGTTTGTGTCTTCAAACTTTCGCAGCCGGCCTTGAAACTTCTTCTTCATGAGCCTCCGTGGTAACTTCTCCGCGCACGGGTTATATGTAGTTATGTCCTGCGCTTCGACCTTCATGATGGGTATTTTACCTCCCCGTCTTGCATTCGTGAATACCTGCGTCATACAGAAGGTCGTTCCACGACGCAAACATCGACGTCTCTTTTTTCTTTTCTTCCCTTCGCACTCCTTCCTTCCGGCACTTCTCACACCAACTTCAAACGTGGGGTGCAATTTGCTCTCTTCGTACCTTTCTTGTCGGCAATCTCCATCATAATGTGCATAATGTGTACTTCGGTTTTTCGGCTTTACAATTTCCGATAGACCAGACTATGGACTCACACGTCTCTTCCCCCTCCGCAGGACCGCGCGCTCGTCGAGGGCCGAAAATTCTTCACAAATTCCTTACCTCTCCACTTCTTCCCCCTACAAATCCTCTACCCTTCTTCTTCTTCTTTGCTTCCCCACGGACACTCACTACCATCGGGCCGGGATGTTGGCCCCCAGGCCCATTGGGGGGCGGGGGGCCAATCCTTAACCCTAGTGTATGTTTACCATGGAAACAATCAATTAACACGTTGTCCGAAACATATTCTCCCACATTGCGTGCTTCATGAAGGGAGCAACCTAGTGTGCACGGCGTTGTACCTGCAACTCATGAAGCTCGTCGAGGACTACGGCGAAACCCTTGAGGACGTTGTCTTTCAGGTGGACAACACGGTGGCGGAGAATAAAAACAACTACTTGCTAGGGTGCTTGGGGCTGCTGGTCGCGAGGGGTGTGGTGAAGACGGCAACGCTGATGTTCATGCAGGTCGGCCACACGCACATCATGATCGACCAGATCTTCTCGAGGTGAGTATCGGAGAAGGAAGAAGAGACGGACGACACTTTTCTAGGTAACATATTAGAGTATAGTGGAGTATAGTGATTTACGCAGCCCTGTCGTTTGTTGCTGTTTGTTGTTTATGCTGTTTAGTCTGCCCTATCCTTACTGCAACCGAGTAGGCCAGTCCCTGAACGCATATTACCTTTTCGCATCTGTTCGTTTCCTTTTAACCGTCGCCACGAAGATTCGGTACAGCTGTTAAGGGGCGCAACATCTTCACGAGAAGTCATCTAGCTGTCGCTCTCCGAAACGCCTACGACACCCTGCCGGTACACGTGACGACGCTCGAGAATCTGGGGAACTTCAAGGAGCTGCTACTAGGAGCGACCAGCAGGGTCCCCCGCATCACGGCCTGGCGGGCCTTTCGGGTTCAGATGCAGGGTGGTGCTTGCGTCGTCGAGGTCAAGCGGGCCATGCACCATGAGCGTTGGTTAGGATTCAGCGCAAACGGGAAGGAGGTGGGGACGGGAGACGGATTTTCTCCGCATAGGCTGTTCTTCCAAGGCTCTGTGCGCATCGAAAGCTTACCTTCATACAAGCTCAAGACGGTGGACCCCCATACGATTCACATGATCAAGCAGCGGTTCGAGGCGTCTCATTCGAGGATGGCGGCGGCGTTCCCGGGCGGTGAGTACACATATGAAAATGGCTGCTGTTACTGTTAAATTGGCTACCATCTGGGTCCCCTCGGGGCTACCTTCTGATGTCCTCTACGGCGATTTTCTGTTTATTTTTTTATACAATGCTAGAGATACTCAACGTTACTGACTGCCAGCAATAGTAGGTACACGTTTTAGTCGTGGTGTTGTCAATTCGACAAACTCGTGTGCCACTTCCCTTGACGTATTCATTTGTTCCGGTTCTCTCCTCAGATCCAGCCCGAGTCCAGGCGCTCAAACAAGAGCAAAGGCGGCAACTTCTTCTCCTTGAGAGGAAGGGCCATCTTCTGCCTGATCTCCCCGTGGATTGGCTACCCGATATCATACGGGAGGGATGCGACGACTCCGACGAAGGCCTGCACGTTGGAGGAAATGACGACGGCGCCAGCGACACAGACGAAATCCAATCTGACCACGACAGTTCTGAAGACTAAGACGAACACGGCCACTGTGCTGCGGCCGGGAGAGTGCAGGGGCGGTTGCCGGTGAAGGGAACCGATGGCAACCAAGGTCGTCATCATGCCACCATTGGCAGCTTCGGGTTTTTGTTGGCGGATGAGGCACCCTTCCTTGTTGGAAAGATTGATCGGGAAAGGACTGGTGAAGGAGGCGAGCGCGAGGTTTGTCTGCACTGGTTCACTCCCAGTGCCCGCTTAGTGAGTCAGGCGTCGTCGGTGGAATTCGAAAAGTACGGCCGGGCCGTCTTCAGCCAAACGTTCATCAGTCTTCCGGTTGAGGCAGTAGCAGGGCAACGCCAAAAAAAACAGTATGTCCCGGACGAGGGGTGGGAGCCGGAGTCTGGTATTGTGACGACCTGCCGTTTGTTGAGGAGGTCGAAATACGTTCCTGCGACTGTGCTCAAGGTGTTGCGTGCTGCGAAAATGGCCTCCCAAGGATAGAAGACGTGAGCAAGAGGTCTATTTGTACTCCAGTAAAAGCACTGCTTGTGTTGTAAGCGTCTACACGCGAGACTTGCGTCGGGCAGCAGGACGTGGAGCCACCGTCGTTGATGATAATGTAAAATATTTTTGTAGAGAGCCATGTAGGTAAATTGTAGGTAAGGTGAATTATTCTGGGTGCGTGTACATCACGTTGGAAGTAGTGGGCGTGAAGACTCAACAAAAACAGACGGACTGGCCAGTATGGACTGGGCGTTTGCCGTCGACGCGTTGCTTCTGAAAGCTTCGTCAGCAACAGTTCGAGGAGGTATGTATGCTCGTAGCTGGATAAACTGACTGCCGTTCTTTGCCCTGTGGAAGTATTTGTTAACAGCGAGCGGTGTACGTAGGGTGTAGCGATGGAACTCGACATGTATAATTTCTTTCGTCGATGTCGGCTGATTCTAAGGAAGGTAACACTGCATATCGGTCGTGTGATGGTAGGCCTCCTCCCGTTTTTCGTGCGGGAGTTTAACACTGACAATTTTCTTCCGTGCATGACTGACAAGAGGCAGCAAAACTGGGTGGTCAGGGATGGCAGTAAGTATTGTACATTGATTAGTATTTTTGTGTAGTGTTGTGTATCTTCCCATGTATTTTATTATTGTAGGAGCCAGTGTACACCAACCGGGTCGCTCCCGAGGAGATACGTAGACACTGGACTTTTTTTTTTTCTCGAACGGTCACCCGGCGGTTTGCCTGGATGTTGCCTGGTTGCTAACTGTAGTTTTAAGTGAAGCAGGAGAGAAAGAAGGATTCAATCAGCAGATAATTCGCTCTGTTTCGTCCAATGCCTTTTTTCCTTGCGTTTTCGAAAGCGCAGCAACCAGCAGTCGATCTGGGATTTTCAAGCACTGTTTTCGATTTCATGGGTACATCAACACCCAATTACAACTTCCAGCTCGGCAAGGAGTCCTCTCGCACCACCACGCCGTAAAGGTATGCAAAAAAACGAAGTAGATCAAATTAACTGTCCTCCATGATGGCGTATCAATTCACGAGGTTTCGAGCAATCACCCGCCGCGAAGAAGCTGTCAGTACCTCGAACTTCCAGCTTACACACCGCTAAACCTAGCAGCCGACATACGTCGACGAATAAGCCATGTCAGCACGTACACCGACTCTATTGAAGGCAGTTTGGCAACGAACGTTTGCCCTCTTACTTGCTGTAAAAAAAAGAAGGAAGCATAGACTATACACACGTTAAACGAAAGGAAGCAGCACCTACTTTCCGGCTTTCAGTTTTGGTGTTTCCCTCTTCCCAGATATACTAGCAGCCTGAAACGGCGGTTGAGTTGTAAGTCATCCTCCCCATTAACAAGTGTATACATACATGCTTCAAAGGAGAAGGTCAGCATACGCACCTAATAATACGCAGCAATGACGGCCCCCATTCTTATGCATGCATCTACGTCCTGCCAAGCAGCAGCCTGAAACGACGGTTGGTTCATCCTTCCCATCAACTCTATTCCTCAAAAAAACGGGGCAGCATACCCCCCCCAAGAAAAAATGCAGCGACGACGGCCTCCGTCTTTATGCATATCCACCATCCCAAGCAGGAGCCTGAAACGGCGGTTGAGAAGTAAGTAATCCTCCCCAACAACACCTTTCTACATGCCTAGAAATAAGGGCATCACACACACCTACATAATAACCGCGGCCACGACGGCCTTCGTCTTTATGTACATCCATCCTCCCAAGGAGCAGTCTGGAACCGACGCATTATTAGCCATCCTCCCAAACTACAGTAAATAGCTTCGAGCGAACGGCTCGTCCGAGAGGCAGTCACGGCACCCCAAGTTTCGCTTCTCCAAAGAGTCCGCCCGGTCTGTGCGTGGTTGTACCTGTCAAAAAAAAAAAATGCCGCGCGTGTGGAAGCAACACCCTTCAGTTCTTGGAGCGTAAATGCTATCCCGGGCCGGCCCGAAACCAAGACGTTTTGAACCGCCCGTTTCCGCCGAAACTGTGTGTGTCGAAGGCACCCGGCCCACTACCGCAACGCTGAAGCTTCATCTCGTCGTCGACGGGGGAACTGAACAACTATCCCCTAGGCACGCTTGAGCCTTCATGTTTGTGGTGTAAGACAACGAAATGCGAGGTCCTACAGCAGTAGATGGCGAGTACTGAATAATGCGGATTTTTATCGAGCTCGATAGGCAGTAGTAGCGGGGCCGTGCGCCTGTCCGCAGTGCGGGCTTAGCGTTCTCACATTTCATCAGTTAGTTGGTTCTCTGGGAACATTTTTTTTTTTCTGTGGCACACACGATCCCGCGACAACTTCTCTCAAGATGCCCTGGGGAAAAGGGGTTTCGCGCAAGCATGATGTCGTACGTTTTGAACACCCCGCTCGGTCGGTTAGATGCACGGTCGGATTGCAGGGAACCTCTTGCAAGCCGCCGACAAAACATGCGAACAGCCGTCATTATGCACGACTGCCTTCAAAACCAAAGCAATAAGCTTCTTCTCGTAGCTACATACAAGTAGGACTGGCTAGAGTCCACAACCAACCCTGCTGATCTTTCTTGGCCGTTCACCTTGCTTGCGCGTGTTGGAACGACCTCACGGCCAGCGAACACTCTGCTTCGCCATTGTCATCCACCAAGCCAACCCCCCGAATGCCCTCGCTTGAAGTTTCGCCACCGAGATACCATCGCGCGAGCCAATCTCACCTGCCGTCGAGACAACAAACAAACGCCGTGGCAGATAACATATTTTCCTTTAGAATAGGCGCAATAAACTGCTGATGCTGTGCTACTACTGCTGGGTGCCTACACCGTACGTAACTGATGAACGTGCGTACCAGACCCAACCCGGAGCTGTTACGTGTTACGGAAGCACGTACGTCTAGTGTACACTCGAACACACTACTTTTTATATTACTACTGCTGCATTGGTATCTGAAACCACCAGGCCCTACACGGCTGTGGTGGCTACATGCAGCTGCATGTAGACTATGGAGTGCTGTCTTGCTTGCCGAGAAAGAGGCAGGTATTTGTGTGCACAACAACATGCACCGTTGGTGACACAAGATACCACGCACACCCTGCAAAGATTTTCAGCAAGAAAGCTCGATTTCTCAAGACACAGAAGAAGGTGTGGCGGTGCCGCAACCGGCGGCGTTCTAGCCGTCCTGTCGAGAGCTTTCCACCATTTAATTTCGACATCTTCTTCTCCGTCCCGTGGCGTTGTCGACATTTGACAATCGGTCGGTGGGGTGGGTGGTATCATGTGTCATTTGCGTAGAGGTGGAACACCTAGCTATTTTGTAGCTTGTGTAGTCGCAGTACAGAGTCGTCGGTATGCGCGAGTTTATCGATAGCCTCATGGGGATGACGTTACTTCAACGCTGGAATGAGTTCAGGTAGCGGCAGCGCTGGCTTCCTGCCGTTAGAAGTGCTACTCATGACCCGTAGGCTACTGCCCCTTTCCTGAAGATGTATGCACATATGTGCGCTGTGGAAGCAGGTGAGGGAGGTAGGTGGGTCTTCGACTCAACATCAACAATTTTTGCTCCCATTGTTGCGGCCACACAACTACGCCGAGAACAGAGATAGCAAGGGAAACAGTCCAAGCAGACCAGGCCAAAGACATACACGGAGTTTGGCTGCCCTCTGTCTTCTTGCTTGCGCTGTTGTTGTACTTCTTTGTGGTTGTTGGAGGGGAGCCACGTCATCTTGGCAACAAAAAAACACACACACACACAAACGGACAGGACTCGGCAGCAGCTAGACTATCTATGTAGCTGCCAGGGTGGGTTGCTGCGGCACCGAGAATACCCTAGGCATGTGAGACCCACTGCTGTGCAAGGGCAGCAGGGGTATCATAGGTCCATGGGGCCTCACAACGCTCGTCTACCTCTCTCTGTCACGCTCTCGTGGGACGTACGCGCAGGTTGTTGCTGTGGTGGGAGTTCGTTGCCGGGGACCACGTTTGCCATCAAGAAGGAAGGGGAAAAACAGGAAAGAGGGGACGCAGCAGCTGCAACTAGACCTGTCTGTGGCACCGCGCATAACGTATGCGTGTGACACGAAGCTGTAAAAGTGTCGCAGGGACGCTATAAGCCTGTGGCGCCCCACTGCACCCGCCTGATCCCATACATGCCCTGTCCCAGCTGCCGCGGTTGCTTGAAACTCGGTTGTGCCGCCTTTTTTTCTAACCGGTGAGGGGTGCCAACCTGTGTCACCCACGTGGTGCCTCCATGGCCGAATGACGCACGGATTTGAGGGCACCTGGTCTGGGGACACTCTCTCTAGGGCGTACGGGCTTACCTGGAGCATGCTGGTGAAGCTCTCGACAAGGCGTTTGGGCCGGGCTGCTATTGATTTGGCCTCCAGGGTGGACCAGTGGAATTTCGTTTTCAGAATTCTAAGCGGGTCGTGCGGCGAAATCGCCGCCGATTTGATAGGTAAGAAAACAGTGATAGGTAAGACCCATGTTTATGGTCGCCAAATCTTTGCGAAAATGTTTATATTTTCAAACAGTTGCGGACAAAGATTTTGTTTCACTGTTTATGGGAGAAAATCTTCGCCAGAAATATTCTCAAACATTTTC